AATAAAGACACTGACAGCAGAGGCAGGGTCCTAGGGTCATATCCAAAAGGGAGGGCCATTGCAAGTCCCTGAAATGAGGGGATCAAATCACAGGAAGGTACTTGTCCCTCCCCTGAGATAGCTCACGGAAATGGATGTTCCAAGGTTTGGGGCCCCGGCTATACACTCAAGTCTGTGTTACTTGGCAGTTTCTCTTATCTCCCCAGTCTTCTCATCTGTAACTAAGGGGTGACAGGAGATAAATCTGAGGGCATGAGCAACATTCCTAGAGCAATGCCATGCTGGTAAACAGCATGCACCCAGTAAATGCCAGCTGGTACCCTCATCGCCCCATTTACGCATCAATGGTGTTAAATGCAATTTACTCTGGGATGAGGCCCCCCTCAACCTGCCAGACTGCTGCCCCAAAGCCTGATCTGGAGGCAAAAGTGCAGCCCAAAGCTATGTAGCCAGCTTCCTAAGCCTCCATGCCTCCCTAGCCACCAAAGGGCCGGGCAAGGAGGCTGGGTCTGCAGCAGATGGCCTGGGGTGGAGATTAGGACCTGTCACTGACTGAGAGCTTGGACGTCCTCACCTGTACACGGGGCTGACTCGCGGAGGGCACAAGAGAGGCGATCACCTCCCTCTTGTCAGATCTGCCCGAAAGCCCTGGAGCACACGGAGTGGGCCTGTCAGTAGCCCGCGTGTGACATGGAGCAAGTCCTCTGTCCCTCTGCCTCAGCATCCCTGTATCTCCAGCTGAGGTGAGAGAGAATCTCCCTTTTCTTTTAACATTTAAGACTGATTTTACCACTCGCGTGTGTGTCTGTGTGTGCCTGCATGAGTCTCCATGCACTACGGGCGTGTGACTGTGGGTGCCAGAATGCAGGGTCCCCTGGAACTGGAGTGACAGGTGGTTGTGACGAGACCAGACTGAGCCCAAGTGTGGAGGAAAAATCTTAGCGGCCATGTCCCTGTAGGCCCCAGGAAGCCACTGTCCTTCTGGGAGGTTCTGGAATGTGGCTTCAGAACCACAGATAGTTGTGCCTCTGCCCTGTGTCACCAGCCCCTACTGCAGTGAGTCCCAGATCCCCACCCAGGTGGTCAGCAGCATAGAGCTCCCAGTCATGCCCAGCCTCAGATAAATAAAAACACCACACAACCCCAGGCGCCCAATCCCAGCCACAAGTGCCAAGTGCTTCCAAATGAAGTAAGTCAAGATACAGGGAGAGGTACATGCACCGAACTGGAACAAAAGGAGAGACACTAACTATTCAGCAACAAGGGACTCGCTGTTCAAATGACGGCGCAGGGATGGGACGTTACAGAGTCTAAATCACGACGTGGAAATGCTACGGCGCTTGAGAAGGGCCCACAAGACTCTCGCATGTTCATCTGAAGGGTAAAAATTACCCTGCAAAGCCCAGAAGGTAGTTTATACCTGCTAATAAGAATCCCGGGACTTTTTTTTTTTCTTCCCAGTACTGAGAATTGAATCTGGAATATTCTAGAAAAAATACTCTGCCACTGAGTAATATTCCAGCCTTACCTGGGAGTGTGTGTGTGTGTGTGTGTGAGTGTGTAAGTGTGTGAGTGAGTGTATGTGAGTATGTGTGTGTGTGTGTGTGTGTGTGTGTGTGTGTGTGTCTACCATAGCATGTAAAGGTAAGAGGACAACACATGGCTTTCTCCAGAATATCGATCCCAGGGATCAAACTCAGGTTGTCAGCCTTGGCAGCAAACCTGTACCCAGTGAGCTGTTTTGTCGGCCCACAGACCTAAGACTTTTAAAATTATTTCCCCCACTTTCTCACTCTTCTTTTTCTCCCCCACTCCATCCTCTCCTCACCCCCCCTTGTTCTCTTGAGACAGGTAGGTCTTCATCTAGTTCAGTCTGTCCTTGAGCTTGATATGCGGTCAAACTTCTGATCCTGCCTTTGCTTCCTGAGTGCTGGTGTTATAGGTGCATCCAGCATGCCTCCCCTCCCCCTCCCTTCCCCTCCCCTCCATTCTCCTCCCCTCTGCTCTCTTCCTCACAGAGCCTCACACGGGCTAAGCCTGGTTCTGCACAGAGCTATATTCCCAGCACCCCTCACTCATCTGTTTTCTTTGGTTAAGCTGTTCCTTAAGGATCTCCACATGCATGTTCTTTAAAGGAACTCCAGGGCTGGAGAGATGGCTCAGTGGTTAAGAGCACTTGTTGCTCTTCCAGAGGACCTGAGTTCAATTCCTGGCACCAACCTGGAGGCTCACAACTGTCTGTACATGCAGGCAAAACAATAATACAAATAGAATAAATAAATCTAGGACAGAGCCGGGCGTTGGTGGCGCACGCCTTTAATCCCAGCACTCGGGAGGCAGAGGCAGGCGGATCTCTGTGAGTTCGAGGCCACCCTGGTCTACAAGAGCTAGTTCCAGGACAGCCTCCAAAACAACAGAGAAATCCTGCCTCGAAAAACCAAATAAATAAATAAATAAATAAATAAATCTAGGACAGAAGAATTTGTCTTATGAAGCCCTTTAAAGAAAATCCCACACTGGAGAGCAGTCATACTGAGTGTCCATCCTTCTGGAATTTTCTCTGTGCAAACTGCACATTAGTAGAAATGGATTGTTGTTTAGGGTCCTAACTGTGTTCTATACATCTGTGTGTCACAGTGAATGGATCCACTGGTTTTATGGTTGCTGCTGGATGGCATTCCATGATACCCTGATTTCGTCAGTGAGACCCTTGCTGGTGGACATTTGGTGGAATCTGGTTGCCGGGTTTATTACAGGTACCCATGGGTCGCACATCCTTACAGAAGTGACAAGTAGCTCTCTAAGGTTGACTTTTTTTTTTTAAGACAGACTATTACTATTGTAGTCCAGGCTGGCGTTGAACTCACTATGTAATCTAAACTGGCCAGGAACACATGTGGATACTATGGCCTTAGCTTCCCTAGTGCTAAGATTACAGCTGTGTGTCACCACACACCATTTAGAATGACTTTTGAAGTTGAAGTGTGAGGATAAAAAGTTATACACAAGTCGGGCGTTGGTAGCTCACACCTTTAATCCCAGCACTCGGGAGGCAGAGGCAGGTGGATCTCTGTGAGTACGAGGCCAGCCTGGTCTACAGAGCGAGTTCCAGGACAGCCTCCAAAGCTACAGAGAAACCCTGTCTTAAAAAACCAAAAAGAAAAGAAAATTCTGCTGAGTTGTGCTCCGGAAGACTGGGTCCTCCCTTTTGTCCCCTCCATCCTGAGACAGTGATGCATGTGTGGCTGCCACCGCGGCCACCCCCATCCACTGAGTTCTGTGTCCTGGACAGCCAGGACCACATAACGAGACGCTTTCTCAAGAAATAAAATAAAAGTGAGTTGTGTGTGTGTGCGCGTATGTAAATGTGTATAATTTTTTAACTCAGGACTTCACATGTGGCAGACAAGAGCTCTACCACTGAGCTACTCACCCAGGATATAACCGTCAGAGCTCACTACTTCCTAATTATTTTACCCACTTTACCGTCCTCTAGAGTCCAGTGGTTCTCAGACTCCCTAAGGCTGACACTTTGATACAGTTCTTCATGTTGTGATGACCCCCAACCACAAAGTTACTTCGCTGCTACTTCATAACTGTAACCCTACAAATGCCATGAATCATAATGTAAATATCTGGTACACAGGATATTTGATATGCAACCCCTATGAAAAGGCTGTTTGACCCCCAACTTGTTCAAGACCCACAGGTTGAGAACCACTGTTCTGCAGCCTTGAGGGTATCTGTGCCTTGGGTCTGTAGGGAAGAGGTGTGCACCACTGAACTCTGATTTCCAAGTAAGAACTGAAGGTTAGGAGATTGAAATCAGCCCCGAGGGAGTCTTCATACCACTGTCATCATCATCATCATCAGCCTATCTAAAATCTGGAAAGTTACCTAGACTCTGACACCCACCTTCCATGCCACAGGTCAGACCCTAAAGGTCACACATGTCTCCTCAAGCACAGAGGAAGGGGCCTGGAGTCTTGGCCCAGGCTTGGGTCAGGCTCTGTTATATATAGTAAGTGGACTTGGAGGGCCAGAGCCTCCATTTTCTCTTCTGGGAAATGGGGTGATCGTGGCAGCCATCTTGCAGGGTCACACGTGGTCAGAGCAAGGGTTCTGGGGGCCACAGGCCAGGAGTCAAATCCCCGCTAAGTCACTCAGTGTCTCTGAGACCCAATTTCCGGTTGACCAATGATTTCCCATCGTTACAGACTTTAAGATGCCGGGGCGGCCCCATCTCCTCCCCACGCTCCTGCCCCCTGGCAGTCCATCCCAGCCCTTGGTTAAGCCCCAGAATCTGTAGGTGGGCACGCCGCAGTTAGGCGTGACCCAGGAGCAGGCCCACTGAAACCCACCATGAGTGGGACTGGGGTCACCAGCTTCCTGGGGTCACTTTTAAATGTCAGCCGGGATGAGAAGACCCACCGAACCCCTAACGGACCTGTGTCCTTCCTGAGAAGGGGGTAGAGGCAGGATGTGGGTTCAGTGGGGTTCTGGGAAGGAGCAAATCCTGGGAAAAGTAGAAGGACTTGAAGCTTTGGACAAACGACCTGACTACAAACCTTTACTACAGCACCCCTGGCTCAGAGGCCTCAGGGTCATCCCCCAAGATCACACAAGGAAATAAGGAGGTCAAAGTTGGACCTAGAGCCTAACTTTCTCTTGTGCCCCCCAAACTTCCTCAAATGGGAAGCTGGAGGCCGGGAGAAGGGAGGGCACACGCCAGCCGTGCAGTGTGGCTCCCGGCAGGCTGATAGCTGAACACAGCAGGTGCCAGGGAAAATAGCTTATTCCCTCTTCACCCCAGACTTTTACTGCTCAACCTGTGGCATCCTTCAGTCCCACTACGCCGAAATAATTGGGGATCCCATTCCTGCCTCCTACCACATTGGGGGTGGCTTCGCCAATGATGAGCTCTGGACGCAGGAGGGGGAACCGGGACACCCAGAGCCTGGTCTGGAGCATGTACCCAAGCAGGGGCGCCAGACACTTACTTGTGGGCACGAAGCTGTAGGTGGCCAGCAGCAGGATAATGGCCAGAGGGAGCACGCCTCGGTCCATGCTGTCCACCTGGGAGTCTGTGCGCTGGGTCTTATCCGGTATCCAGAGGCAGGGCTGCGGGTGGGCGCCGGGGCCGGCGTGGGTTCGCACGGGGACCCGAAGGGAGCAGGCGGCCGGAGCGACCACGTCCCTGCTCCAGCCTTCTGAGGTGGCGGCTGAGAAGTCAGGAGAAGTGAGCTCGGGACTCACAGTAGGGCAGGGGTCTCCAGCTGACTGGATGGTGGGAAAGCTGAGCTCTTTTGGACAGCAGCCCGCAGCGGTTCTGGCCTGGGGACAGGACACAGAAAGAGGTAAGGGTCTGACTGTCCTCAGCAGGGAGCTCAGCTCATCCAGCCCGGCCCAGAGAGGCAGGAAATGCGCTTCCTTAGAGAAGGGGCCGGGCCAGGCCGCCTGCCAGGCGGGTAGAGGAAGTGCCACAAGCTTTGTCGCTGGGTGGGGGGCCCTGGGATGGGGGAGGCAGGGTGATGGGAGGGCCCAGGCGTCAGACCTGCCCCCCATTCACTTCACCCTCCATCTACTCTAGCCAAGGCTTGTTGGTGAGGTCACATCTTGAACCTGACAGGGGTCAAGCTCTGCCTGAAGCCCTGGTAACTCAGGTTCCTTCTGCAGATGAGGGAACAAGTGATGTACTTAGATAGCCTTCTGGAAGGATGCCTCCTGGGATTCTAGCTGGTCCCCGCCAGCATCAACACAGACTTCCAGACAGGGAAGCTGAGGCCCAGCGGAAGGAAGAAACATTCCCAGGTTAGTATGGAGCAGAGATTGTACTCGCTGGGTCCAGAGAAGGTCAGAGGGCTGCGGAGACCCTCAGGGCCCATACAGTCCCGAAGGCACAGAACACACATTTGACGTTTGGTGCGTACGCCTGTAATCCCTGCCCCATGGAGGCCAGCGCAGGAGGGCTGTGAGTTGGGGGGGGCAAGCCTAGGCAACACATAGCCAGTCTAGAGGAGACACAGGCACAGACTTTCATGCCATCTCAGAGGCCAGATGACCATGGGTTTGGATACGCCTTGCTTATTTCCAGCAAGGACCTGGCTGAATCTTTAATCTCAGTTACCTATTTGTAATACAGGGAGAACGTGGGCCATCCTGGGGTAAATGGTACGGATGCAGAGAGGTTAAGAAGCCCATCTCTGGTGGCCGGAACACAGGGACTCCATCCCTGGGGCCAGTGGGAGTCACTTGTCTTGAGGAGGGAGAAGGCTGGGAAGGGCAGCCTCTATAGGAGATGTTGGCCTGGGGTTTCAGCTCTGGCCCTTAGGTGCTCTCCAGTGGGTCAGTGACCAGGCCAGACCTGCAATTTGTCTCTGCAGGGGCTGCCATGAGGCGGGGAGGGTGGGTGTGGTTCCTGAAGGCAGGCTGGAGAAAGGTCAGCTTGCTCTTACCCAGGCAAGCATGGGAGACCCAGCTCACCAGGCCTCTCGGGGATGGCAGGCTCTGCCCTTCCCTTCAGCCATGGAGATAGCAGACACCAGGACTCCTGGAGGCAGATGGGGGTGGGGGCAGAGTGGCTATGAGCTTCTCTATGTGCCCTAACAGAATCTGTCTTGGGGAGTCAGCCTAGCCCCGGAACTAGACTCCGCACCAGGGCCCACCCTGGGCGTTCACCTTATCAGTACCAAATTGTCACCATTGACGAGAGGTCTACTCCCTTAGGCTTTGTTTCACACAGGGGGGGCCAGCTTGCCAAGGAGCTCTGAGAGTGGGTACCTCAGCCTGCACGCCACCCTGCTGCTCCACCTGAGCTGAGTGGACTGGGGGAGGGGGCAGCTGGTACAAAGACTGAGAATCACAGTGAGGTGACAGCCAGGGGACCCTCCGGGCCTCCAGGATAAGGTCCTTCAGAGATGGCTGGCCTGCCCCCCAGGCTACTTAACCTCTCCTCACTCTGCTGTCCCAGGGTGATCCAATCTCCTCCCACTTCCGTGCTTAGCCTAGGTTAGGCCCCTTCTTAGCCCTGCTTTGTGTCTTAGTTTTTTTTAAAACAGGGTCTCACTGGGTAGCCAGGCTGTCTTGGAACTAGCTACAGAGACCAGGGAGTAAAGTGCTTGCCGCTAAGCCTGACAACCTGAGTTTGATCCCTGGGGCCCCCATGAAGAAAGAAAGGAACTGATTCCCCGAAACCTTCCTCTGACCTCCACATGTGTGTATGTGTCCACACCCACACATATAAAACCACAACAAGTAAAGGAATAAAATGTAATTTGAAAAATGTAAAACAACAAGAGCCAGGGAAGCAAAGTCCTACCAGTAGACTTTAGAGGGCCCTGACCAGAGACCTTGAGGTAATGAAGGGTGTGGAGCCACCAGGCCTGGAAGCTTGAGCAGAGAGGTGGTCCCTGCCAGCCCGAAGTCTGGGTGGAGCCTCAATGCCTAGTGTACATCACTAAAAGTTCCAGGAGGGTAGCGACTTTGATGGCCTCTGCTGCTTATCCCTCCACAGATCCAAAAGACTTTTTTTTTTCTGAGACAGGGTTTCTCTGTGTAACCCTGGCTCTCCTGGAACTCACTCTGTAAATCAGCCTGGCCTCAAACTCACAGAGATCCACCAGCTTCTACCTCCCAGTGTTGGGATTAAAGGTGTGGGCCATCACCACTGCCCTGTGGAACTTTGCTTCTTAAGGTATTTTTCTTTTTTCTAGAAGATACTAAGGAGACTGGCTTTCAATTTGCAATCCCCTGCCTCAGACTCCTAAGTGCTGGGATTCCAGATGTGAACCACAGTGCACAGCAAGATATACATATTGAAGCCCTGAGGTATCTGGGAAGCCAAGGTGGGACTGGGAATCCGGAAACTGAAGCACAGAGGACAAAGTCTTGTTTCTGTCTCTGGTACATCAGGCCACCTGGGCTGGTTCTTGTGTCCCCAGCATCTTGGTGATGGAAGAACCATTGCAACCAGGCACAGATCTGAGCAAGCTGTGGTTTGCTTCCAGCATGCTGTCCCCCTCCGGGGAGACATCCACCCTCCTACTCCCCTACTCCTGAAGGACATACAAGGGAAAGAGAGAAGGGCACATCCTTTGGCTTTGTCCACAAAAGGCTGACCCCACATCTCAGTGGTTTCTCCCCTGACCATCAGCCAGGGCCTGTCCTCGAATGCCCAGGCAACGGGTCCCTCTCCTCAGCCATTAGGCCAAGCAGGGTGAGCGTTCCCTGCACCCTGCCCTCCCTTGTGACAGCACACCCTCACCACAGCCTCCCAAAGTTGTCCCTTGGGAACCTGCCATCTGTTTCCTGCCCTAATCCCATGCAGGTGTTCTCAGGTCCCTCCTGCACACCCTCCAGGAGACACGTGGCCCCCAGCCAGGCCCTGTGCATGGCTCGGCCCACAGCAGGCTCCATCTTCCTCCTGGCAGGGCCAGTAGGCCTGAGCCGCAGGAAGGGATGGAGCACGTCTACCTTGGCACCTGGCCACCACAGGAATGTCAGGCGGCCCCTGAGGACCCCACGGCGGCTGTGAGTCTCCAGCACCAGCCAGGGGCTGTTGATCCCTACCTGCGGGGTCAGATCCACTCAGGCATAGGGAGGATAGGGAGGGGGTGGTGGGTCAGGAGCCTGGGCACCTGACTTTGCCCCATGCCAGCCAGGGAGCCAGGCATTTCTGCTTTCAGGACACACACACACACACACACACACACACACACACACACACACACACACACACACGCACACGCACACGCACACGCACACGCACACACCCGTGCCTTCATCTATAGAGATTCAAGTACGAGGGTGCGAAGCCTCCTCCACGCTCAAGCTCACCAGGCCCAGCACAAAATGCAGCCATCCTCATTTTACCATGGAAGAAGCAAAAGGGCCCAAGGCAACAGGGCTGGAGAGAGACAGAGCACATGCAAATCTCAGCCTGCTGGTGTTCCCTTGTTTCCAGAACTTTCTGTCCTACTTCCTTCCTACATTCCAGATCACCTTATCTGTCTCCTACTGGTTCCTCTTCATCCCCCAGGCTTGGCCCTTGCCAGCCTCCCTTTTCTGTTCACTTTTACTCCCAAATCAGTGTTTCTCAGACTTTGGTGACCGGTGACACATTGTATTCTAGCCCAGTGACAAGTCACCTAGGGGACTTGGGCTCAGATAAGGAGTGGATAGACCTCTGCGGGCTTGTCTGCGTCCTTTCGGTCCCGACCATGAGCTGCTGGAGTTCAGTGCGCAACACCTGGTCCTGGCCGTAAACAGTGTGCTGGGCTCTCCCAAGTCTGAGGGCTGAGGCCGAAGTCTCTCCTGGGAGCTGGTTCCAAGTAGAGACACTCAGCTGCGTGTGGTGGCCCATGAGACCCTAGCTAGTACTTGAGGCACAGGTGATCCCCCTGATCCCCCATGGGTTCAAGGTCAGCCTAATCTGCATATTGTCTCAAAAAGCCAAGCTGGAGGGTGGAGAGGCAACTCGGCAGTTAAGAGAACTTGCCGAGGACCCTGGTTTGGTTCCCAGTGGCTCACACAGACCTGTAACTCCAAATGGAGGGATCTGACGCCATTTCCTGGTCTCCAGGTGTACACATGATGCACCTATACACAGGCGAAAACATCATACACATAAAACAAAATCTTTTTTTTTTAAAGAAAGCCAAACTAGGAGGCACAGGAGGCAGGTAAAGTTGCTTGAAACCAAGCCTGATGACCCGAGTTTGATCCTCAGGACCTACATGGTGGAGGGAATAAACTCCTACAAACTGTTCTCTGATCTTCATGTGAATGACACGGCATTCACACACACACACACACACACACACACACACACACACACACTCTCTCTCTCTCTCTCTCACAAAACAGTTTTAAAAAGGCAAACTAGATCTCAGTTGACTGAGTGCTAACTGAGGAGGTGCATGTTTGTAATCCCAGTGCTCCGCAGGCTGAGGCAGAGGTATTAGTTCAAGCTCCTGCACAGTATCAGGTTAGCCTGGATTGTATGAGGCTGTTTTTGAAGAAAAAAACAAAACAAAACAAACCCAAACCACCTTAATCTGATAGACGTATACTTTCTCAGCACCTCTGGGGGCTTTTCCCATGCTTCCCCAGCTCAGATCTGGAAAATTCTGTTCCCAGTGGAACTATGCAGAGTTTTCCACGCCTGGCGGACACCAGTCCCTCCCCCTCCCAGCCCCCCCCTCCCCACAGGACTTTCCCCAGCCCAGGCTCCAGGATGCCTCTGACTCCCTACACCAGCAGCAGGCTTCTAGTCTCATGAACTGCCCCGCCCCACAACCTCTCTTGTCCCTACAACCCTTTGGCTGTCACTCCTAGCAGGCCTGCCTCGCGAGCCCAGGGCTGGCAGAACCCGGCTGCGCTGTCCTCCATCCCTCCAGGGACACTGGGGTCAT